GTCGGCCACCTGCTGAATGAAAAAGATAAACCTCCAAGAGGGGGAGACACTTTTTTTAAAATCAAAAATGTTTTTGGGGGGTTTCTAAAGCAGCCTCTGTCCCCTTTCACAGCCCCTGTCCAACCTCCACAGCCCCTGTCCCCCCCTCCACAGCTTCTGTCCTCCCACTACAACCACTGTCCTCCAACCACAGACCCTGTCACCCCACCACAGCCCGTTTCACTGCCTCTACAGACCCTGTTCACCCCTCTACAAACTCTGCCCCCCCTCAACAGCCCCTGCCCCCCTCTACAACCCACTACCAGTACCCCTCCTGAGACTAGGTTCTGAATCTGCCCCTGCTCTGTATGCCTGTGTCTGCATGTCTCTGTATGACAATATATTTGTGTATGTATGTATATGTATGACTGTATATGTATGTCTATGTATGACTGTGTATGTATGCCTTTGTATGCCTATGTCTCTATGTCTTTGTATGCCTGTGTCTCTATGTCTTCATATGTATGTGTTGGTATGTCTCGGTATGCTTTGTTCTGTATGTCTCTGTGTGACTATATATCTGTGTCTGTATGTCTTTTTATGTCTGTGTTTGCATGTCTCTGCATGCCTTGGTCTGTATATATTAGATTATATTATTAAATTATTATATATTATATTATATTATATATGATAAAAAAGGAAGTAGAGCTTATATAATATAAAAATATGTATCAACAATGTATTAGGAGAAAAGATATGTAAGTAAAACGCTTTATAGAAAGCTGAAATTGTAGATGTGACAATGCAAATAAGAATAAGTCATTGGAATTGTATAGCAGTAAAATATGTCCGGAACTGGTAGTCCACTCACTGACATCCCATCAAATCCTATTGTTTGAGACAACAATAGATATCTCTGTCCCTCCATTAATTCTGGATAAAGTGCAATTTTGCAATTTTATTTAGTTTGAAGTGCATCCAGTAATATTTGCTAGTCACAAGTACAAAATTGGTTTGATTATCTGGTTAATCAGAGGATATACTCTCCAGTCAGGTTGTACAGCCAGAGAATGCCTGATGGTAGCCCGTATCATATAAGTGTTTCAGGCTAGATGGTCTGCCCAAATCTCTACAGGAAGAGGTGTGCTTTAAGCGTTAAGCATGAACATCTATGAGTTTTGTCCTTTATATACTGATACACCCCTTAAGGCTATAAAAAAAATAATTGAGTCCTAATAATGTACAAATCCATTGAACATTATTCCACCTAAACATCAATGGAGGCTCGTCTATATGGACACTTGAAGCGGCGTCCCACCAGTTTTTATGTAGGGAAAACATTTATTACCAGTAGTTTAGAAACATTAAGATTCTTTTTCTGGAGGTGAAGGTGGTAAGTAAAAGAAAAATGGGAAAAGTTAGTGTCTCTTTAGTTCTTTAATGCATTGCAGTTCTGCAGGGTCCCTCCTCCCTCATTTGTAGCTGTTTGGAGAAGCTTACATGAGAGCATCTTGACATGTCAAAAATGGGGCTAGTTTGACATCTGCCCTGTTTGTGCAAGTTCTGCACATGCCTAGTGTGCTTTAAGAAGGATATCAGGAATTTCCATTGAGTTGCGATTGGGACAGCAGAGTCAGCTGCCCATGCTATTGACTTCTCTATTAGGAGGCCATCATGGGCTCATAGCCCACAGGAGAGAGAAGCAAGATCTGTGAAGTAGCACAGAGAGAGCACAGCGGCAGCACCTTCTGGCCCCTGCAAATATAAGTGTGTGAAATTATCTTTTTTTATTTTTGAGACATTGGTATACCTTGATTTCTTGATACTTTTATATTTTGATACAAGGTTTAATTAAGTTTAAAAAAGCTAATAACAAACTTTGAGCAGCATATAGTAAAACATTATTTAAAAAAATAAATAAAATGAAATAGGAAAGTTGATAATAGCTATATAAATATTAATACAAATCTCAAAAATTACAAATTAATTAGTAAACATATATACTTAAAAACCTCTATATTTTTCTATATACATTTAAATTTACAGACCTTGCAGTGCTATCCACTGACCATGGGTGGAACAGTTGGGCTGACAGTGATTTGTCCACCCCCTTATTTAAAAGCTTCCTACCCGATGCCTACAGTATGGCATAGGAAAGTTTAAAATTATTATTTTCTTTATCTTCATTGCAGGGGTAGCTACCCACTTAAAATAACATAAAATACATACAAATTAAAAATACAGCTGAGCCATAAAATAGCACTAGATGGAATCTTTGATTTTAGCTTTGGAAGAACATAAATCAAAATCTAAAGCATGGCTGTCAAGAGGATCAACAGAATTATCCATTTGAGAGAGGGTTGGAGTGCAGGGTATTCTCTTTCATTGTTCAAACTGAGCTCAACTCCTGATGCATGGAGAAAAGGCCTTTACAACCCTCTGCTATTGTGTACATAGTTTATACTAAGTGACCCATAGGTTGAGGAGGCGGTGACCGTGGCGGTGTAGGTGAAAGCGGCAGTGGAGGAGGTAGCCAACACTGTTTTTATATATATCTTGTGTATTATATATATATATATATATATATATATATATATATATATATATATATATATATTCTTTGTTAAGCTAATTTGCATATGCCCACCCAGAATCCTTTGCGGTTGTAACATCACTGCAGATTTGGGATTTCTGTGGGAAAAGCAAGTCTTATGGCTTGACTGGTGTGCAGATTTTTGTTTAACATTGTATTAACTATCCACAGACTTTAGGTGGAAGGGGTTTTCAATCACAATTTTTCCCCACCATAACCTAATTGGATTTTGCTATATATATATATATATATATAATTTATTTATTTTTTAATTGGGGTAGCCCCGAAAATATTGCAACATATAAAAAAAGAAACATTTGTGGCCTACTGTGCATTACTTGCAGTCCAATAATGCCATCAGGTTTTTAAAACTGTCCGTCTCCACCAGACGGAATGACAGCATTTCAAAGGCCACAAATTCTGAAATGCTGGCATTCAGGGCCAGGGATCGCGGGTGGCTAGGGGGGTACTTCCTCTTTCTCTCCAGTGTTTGGGAGATGGACAGCTGAAGGCTGGTGCAGGAACCCACCCTTCGAACCAGTGTGAATGACTGGCCTGATAACAGTGGAAATGACCCCTCTTCCTCCTCCTCTTCCTCCTGTACCACATCCTCTCCCATCATAGCCCGAAGCATTTTTTCAAGGAGACATAGAAGCGGGATAGAAAGGCTAAGAACAGCGTCATCGGCACTGGCCATGTTGGTGGAGTACTCAAAACAGCGCAACATGGCACACAGGTCTCACATAGAGGCCCACTCATTGGTGTTGAAGTGGTGCTGCTCCGCAGAGCGACTGACCTGTGCATGCTATAGCTGAAACTCCACAATCGCCTGCTGCTGCTCGCACAGTCTCTCCAGCATGTGCAAGGTGGAGTTCCACCTTATGGGTATGTCGCAAATGAGGCGGTGAGTGGGAAAGCCGAAGTTACGCTGCAGCGCAGGCATGCAAGCAGCAGCAGGGTGAGAACGCCGAAAGCGCGCACAGACGGCACGCTTCTGCAGCAGCTCTGATATATATGGGTAGTTTTTCAGGTATTTCTGCACCACCAAATTCAGCACATGCAACAGGCAAGGGATGTGCGTCAAACCAGCTAGGCCCAGAGCTGGTACGAGATTTCGCCCATTGTCGCACACCACCAGGCCAGGCTTGAGGCTCAGTTGCAACAACCACTCATCAGTCTGTTGTTCCATGCCGGTCCACAGCTCCTGCGTGGTGTGGGTTTTTCCCCCCAAACATATGAGTTTTAAAATAGCCTGCTGTCGTTTCCCCCTGGCTGTGCTGAAGTTGGTGGTGAAGGTGTTACGCTGACCGGATGAGGAGGTGGTAGAGGAGGAGGAAGCAGAGTAGGAGGAGGAGGGAACAGGAGGCAAAGCTGTGTACCCAAATAAATATTGTCAAACATTGTATCTCCCATCCGGTTACTGGACAAATGGGTCTGACCTATTCTAATCAAAGGGAATAACCATCGGTTACCCAGGTCCTGCTTCAATTGATGAAAAGCGGCGGGATCCCATGTCCCTGTCAACAGGCCCATGGACTACAGTGCTCTAAAGCAACCTACACTGCAGGACGTGTGTGGAGCCAGAGGAATAAAGCCTGGTGGGTGTAACAAGGCCAAACTTACTGCTGCGCTCATGGAGGACGACCAGGCACGCAGTGAGGCAACGAACCCCAGCCAGGGGCCAGAGATGAGGAGGAAGTGCGCAAGGAGGTGAAACGGCGTCTGGCATATTACCGAGAGCCACCCTCAGAGGAGATTGTCAGCATGACGTTTTTGGAGGTGCAAGCCTATGTCCTTGCTAATAGACAGAGGGTGACCTCCATGAACCCAGATGAAGGAAGAAGGGAGCAGAGGGCGCCGGGAAGCACAACCACCCTGGCCTACAAGCTACCATACAATGCCTTCAAAGAGTTCAAGGAAGCAGAAGAAGGCATGATGACTTTTTTTACAAGACTTTGAGCGACAGTGCCTACTCCAAGACGTGGACCCCAGCGACTTGGTCACCATCCTGACCAGCAAACAAGTGGGGAAGGCAGAGGATATTTACCGGGCTTTATCAGAAGAGCAGATCAGAGACTATTCCTTTATTACACAAATTCTCCTGGCCCGGTATGCGGTCACCCCGAGCAATACCGCCGAAAGTTTAGGGAGACCTGGAAAGGGCCTCCCATGCGGAGTGGGCATGCCGCATCACAAGGGCCACCCAGAACTGGCTCAACTCCCATCAAGCCAAGTTCCTGGAGGAGATCACCCTGCTCGTCATGCTAGAGCACTTTTTCAATGGGCTCCCCAATGACACGGCTGGTGAGAGACCGACAGCCCCAGACCCAAGAAGTATTGGTATGAGCTATTGAAAATTAGCTCATGATATCCCATTGGCATTGCATTTGTGCATGAGCCGGACAGCGTCTCACCCACAGCATCTTCTAGCCAGGCATCTCTCAGGATCTGAGGTAGTACTGCCAGAGAGTGGGGAAGAGAAGGGACCGGCCCAGGGCCTCTATCTATTAGATCCGTTAGGCAGAGTAGCTTTCAACATTATAGTTGCGCAGGCACTTTGGTGACTCTAGAGAACCTCGGGCCAATCGCACATTCCCGTGACAGCGACGACGCATTCGGATGTCTGCCCTATCAACTTTCGATGGACTTTCTGCGCCTACCATGGTGATCATGGGTAACCGGGAATCAGGGTTCGGTTTCAGAGAGGGAGCCTGAGAAACGGCTACCACATCCAAGGAAGGCAGCAGGCGCGCAAATTACCCACTCCCGACGCGGGGAGGTAGTGATGACAAAAAACAATACAGGACTCTTTAGGGACCCTGTAATTGTAATGAGTCCACTTGAAATCCTTTAACTAGGATCAATTGGAGGGCAAGTCTGGTGCAGAGCGACTGACCCATGCGTGCTGCAGCTGAAACTCCACCATCGCCTGCTGCTGCTCGCACAGTCTCTCCAGCATGTGCAAGGTGGAGTTACACCTTGTGGGCATGTCGCATATGAGGTGGTGAGCAGGAAGGCCAAAGTTACGCTGCAGCACAGACAGGCAAGCAGCAGCAGGGTGAGAACGCCGAAAGCGCGCACAGACGCTACAGTGAATGTCACATCCAGTTCCAAGTTCCGGATCAGTCTAGTGATGGCTTCTGGTATCCAGTACTCTTTTTACTGAAGCTGCATCAGGGTCCTGGTATATGGCCGCACAAACGCTGGTGTGGTTACCCTGCACCAGACCTTGCTAATCCATTCCACACTGTGACTCCTAACTTCAACATCAACATCAGGTATACTGGGTCCCGGTCGTCTGACTGCCGCCCAGACTGTGTCTGGGTCCCGGTCACCAGACTGCTGCCCTCAATGTGAAACTTTGAATGGCTCGTTAAATCTGGTACAAACCCGAACTTTGCAGTTCGGGTTCGCTCAACTCTATTACGGATCCTTTGATCGCTCCATCTGTTACTTGGATAACTGTGGTAATTTACGAGCTAATACATGCCGACGAGTGCAAGGGGACGTCCGCTCCGCTTTTGCACCCTGCTCCCTCTCATGCTGTGCTGGTGCCTCTGTGTGACCTGCGCCTCTTCCTCCAAACTGCACATGTCACTCGCATGACCTTGATTCCATGTGGGGTCTAGGACCTCACCATCCTCCACATCATCTTCCACCCATTCCTCAACCCTGCCCTCCTTGCCAGTCTCCACAGTGCAGAAAGCCACAGCAGGTGGCACCTGTGTTTTTCCAGCATGTAAACTCTGCAAAGGACATATGGGAATTTTTTAGAATTGTATCCAGGTAACAGTTTTCCCTATAAACTGACCTCTCAGTTTGACTTGTGAGGGTATTGCCCCCGAATTACAATATTGTTATATTGGTATTTGACGGTTTTATTTGACTGTCAGATATGAAGTGCAGGCCGCAAATTTACTTTTTATCACCCCAAAAATTTGAATGGGTCAAACTGCGCTGTAAGCACAGTATTTGATGGTTCTATTTGACTCTCAGATATGAAGTGCACAGCAGGCCGCAAATAAACTATTTAGCACCCAAAACAATTAGAATTTTTAAAAGTGCGCTGTAAGCACAGTGTTTGATGGTTCTATTTGACTGTCAGATATGAAGTGCAGGCTGCAAATGTACTATTTAGCACCCAAAAAAATTTGAATTGGTCAAACTGCGCTGTAGTCACAGTATTTGACGGTTCTATTTGACTCTCAGATATGAAGTGCACACCCCAAATTAACTTTTTATCACCCCAAAAAATTTAATGGGTCAAACTGCGCTGTAAGCACAGTATTTGAAGGTTCTATTTTACTCTCAGATATGAAGTGCACCACAGGACGCAAATGTACTATTTAGCACAAAAAAGTGTGATTTTTTTTAAACCAACAATGTAACAATAGTATTTAAGGGTTTTATTAGGCTGCAAGAAATGCAGTACGCAAATGTACTATTTAGAGTCTAGAGCTGAGGTAATATTTTAAATGATGAAATTATTTTGGTTTGCACTTTAAGTATATACATGTATATATACATATGTATATGTTTTTAAGTATTTAAAGGCATAGCGCGCATTTTTTCTACATAACATTGCATTAAGTGTTTTTTGATCAGTTTTCACTTGCATTAGTGCTGCTTACCTTTTGAATACTTTGAATGGTTTTAGAATAGTTTCTTTCATTTGTATAATTGAGTTTAAATTATACAAACACATTTTCAGGCTTATTGAATTCACAGCATTTTGAAACCTAATTTTATTGTCTATAGTAATATCCCATTATTTGTGCTCAGCTAGATCATATCATTTTGTTCCTATGCATATGTTTCAATTTTAAGCAGACCATTTGTAATTCACATAGTAATTCACATAACTTGTCCTCAAACTCAAATTATTTATTTATTTAAAAAATATTTTACCAAGATGGATACATTGAGATTTCTCTCGTTTTCAAGTATGTCCTGGGTCCACAAACTTTGCATTGTTACAATAGGGTACAATATTACAAAAATACAATACACAAACTATATATATATATACACACACATATAAATGTATTACATAACAGGTAATAAATATATTCAACCATGGCAGGTGCATTCTGTGCTGAGGTCTATTGCCATAGTTCTCATAAAGATTTTAGATTGAATGAAGATTTGACTATGTCCCTGAGGTTATTCCATAATTGCGGTGCTCTGTAGGAAAAGGAGGTTTGAGACACTTTATTTGTGTATTGCGGTATGCTAAATATTGTGCTAGTACTGGATCGAAGGTTATTATGGAAGAAACACAAAAACTGGATGTCAGGTTATAAACAATCAAACATTCCTAGAATAAATGAATACATTCTCTTACATACATTGAGGGTAGTATGTTACAGCCCCAATTAACTATACTGATATTTTTAGACTATAAAGGGGAACTTTGTATGGTAAACCTGAGTGATGTAGAATATGAGTTCCATAAATTCCCTAAATTGTATTTCCAGAAATTATAATCAATTTAGCTTTTGTAGTGATTATGGTGCAAGTACTCTAAAGGAGATAGCCTTACAATTCTTCAGTTTCTCGTGAAACTGCTTCTCATAGCCTCACTGGAGCCATTTTCCTCCTGGAAAAACCAAACCGTGCTTACTAGTACAAATATCGAATGCCCTAGAAAAAAAATGTGGCATTTTTTCATATAACACTCCAAGTTTAAAAATAAGCAGGCAACATTTAGAGGGACTGGACTCCTAGTGACCATATACCATTATCCCTACAGTAAGTTGAAGTGGTTATGGTGCTTGGATTGTGTGTCCATTCAACCTTTAAGAACTGGAGAAAATTATATCTATCTGTCCGATGGGCAATAGAGATACATGAGAGAAACAAGTAAATATGAATCGAGCAGTTTCATTCCATCAGAATTGGAAGTGGGCATTTTTTTACACACAAATAGAAACAATATCAATATTTTTGCTAGTAAACATCACACAGGAACTGCTAGAATGGAATGCAAAAAACAAGAAAATGGTTTTCTTTCTCTTGGTAACATCTCTTTGCATTCAATTTATGAAAGGCAAACACGTATTATACTAATATTGCAAAATAGAGTTTGAAACTATCCAGCCAAATGATGTAACTGTTTGCTGAATTCTGTAAAGTCAAACTTGCCAATATTGTAAAAAATATTTCCATAGACATTTTGACGCTAGGCAGTAAAATCTCTGCACGTCATTGAGAATCGATGTGCCATGGCATTGGATATCACTGACGGCAGATGTAAAACTGCACTTGCAAAGAAATTTTACAATATGCTTTTTGGAGAGGATTCTCAGAATAGGAAGATTTTATAAATCAGACACAGTTTTCTGTCATTTATAAAATACACTCAGTGTTGCAGTGCGGCAGGGTGCACTATCCTGCTGTTGATAGAGGCCGTCGTAATCAGGGAACACCATTACCATGAAGTACATGGTTTGCAACAATCTCTAGGTAGGTGGTACATGTCAACATAGCATCCACATGAGTGAACCATGGTTTCACAGCCTTCACCGGCATGCCTTCTTCCCATAGTGCATCCTGCTGCCATCTTGCAGGTAAATGAGGCATACACACACGGCCACCACCTGATCTAAAAGAAAACGTGATTCATCTGACCAGCCAACCTTCTTCCATTGCTCCATGGCCCATTTCTGATACTCACATCTCCATTGAAGGTTCTTTCGGCAGTGGACAGGGATCGTCTAACTGGTCTGCAGCTACTCAGCCCCATACACAGCAAACTGTGATGCACTGTGTGTTCTCACACCTTTCTATCATGAACAACATTCGGTTTTTCATCAATTTGAAAACAATTACTTTAACTTCAAATCTTGTTATAAACAAATGATATATATTTATTTGCAAGCTTGTCTACTGTTTACTATCATGATATTCCCCCTTGCCATTAGAAAATTGTTCTAAGCAGGGTGTATCTCCCAATGATGATGACATGCTGGATTTATTGCTGTCATTATATCTCTTGCACGTGCAAGACATGCTTGCTTGAGGAATAATCACAGCAACTATATCACATGTCACAGTCCTCTCCTTAGATCCAACATGGGCAGATGCTGGTAAATCTCAGTCTTGGTGAAACAGTGCGCCTTATTTCTACGACTGGAGTCAAATGTTGCATAGCAGAGTGTACTTTTTTTTAAATGCTGACTAGTTTCACAAGTTAACCAAGGGAGTTCACCGATGAGGACACAAGGAGGGAAACAGCAGACAATGCTTCAATCAACATTCTCATTATCATCCACACACTGTTGTGCTTGCTGCATTTCTGTTTTGTGTTCTGTACCTAGCCATATGTGTAGTGTAAGTACTACTTCCTCACCATATATGCATTATTTTTAACATACTTAATTTTTGTTTTCATCTCCTCCCCTCCTGTACATGGCTCCAAATGTGACCGTGTTAATATTCCTTGTAACCCTCTTCACATTCCTGTTATGTTCCCACCACCACCCTCGTAAGCACCCTCCACCACAAACTGAGAACCAAATTCTTATACAATATGGCCTGCTTTGTTGCTGTAATGTATCTGCTGAGTGCTGGTGGAGAGTGTTAAAATCAAGCCCTCCAATCCCCACCCCACAAAAGTATAAAACCTTACAATTGCAATACTACCAAATTAAGATTATGTCCAAATTCCTATTACGCATGTTACTTGCTTTTGCAAATGATGTGGAGTTCAACACTGTCCCCCAACAGATTCCATTCCTAGCCTTCCAGCTAAAAAAGGCCTCTCCTTTGTGCACTGTAATATCTGCAG